AACTTAAGGAAAAATTTCTTAACAGTGAGGGTGACAGAGCACTGGAACAGGCTGCCCAGAGAGGTTGTGGAGTCTCCTTCTCTGGAGATCTTCAAGACCCGCTTGGACACAGTCCTGTGCCACGTGCTCTAGGTGACCCTGCGTGTGCAGGGGGGTTGGACTAGATGACCTCTAGAGGTCCCTTCCAACCTTAAGCATTGTATGATTCTATGATTCTATGATTTGTATCTTTTCATGTAACTGTGCTTTGTGCTAAGAGACTTTAGCTCTATGTGAGGTGCTCAAGGTCAACCCCAACAAAATATTCTGTTCTCTCAGGAAGGGGTCATGTTTACTGTATTTGGCTTCTTGCCTTATAATTTTCAGAGCCAGACCTTTGGAAAATGGTCCATCTAGTCAATCAGCTCTGTCTTACCATAGAAGATGCTTAATTGTGTCCTGTATCACTTCTATGGAGTATAGCTTAAGGCTCCAGTTCCACACACTGCAGCCTTCGAGGATGCAGGAACCCTAATAAAATACACCCTGAAGGCCAGGGTTTTAATAGCAACATTAAGGGAAAAATCAAGCAGTTGTATATAGAGGAGTGTGTGGTTAGGCTTAGAAGATAAGTACCTTCTTGAAGCGTAAAGAATGCTGTCTTCTTGCCTCCATCTTACAAACCTGTTTGTTGTTAGCTGAAAAGTCAGAAAGCAGTGATCCTGGAATTATTCATTCTGCCTCACTGAATATCTTAGAATATCTTTCTATGTGCATCTCATGGGAGCCTATCAGTAACCTTCGGAAAGCCCAGAGAAGATACAGCTGTAGACACAGGAGAAAATACTTGGTCTTGCAAAATCTTCAATAAAATTAGCTAATGTATAAACTAGATAAATACAGCAAGTTTTTATTACCATCATGCTATGCACGTGCTGCTGACTGCGGGTATTTGATATTCCTCTGGCAGGCAACACAAGTGTTGGGTGTGAGATCAAAGAGGAGGTGCTGAGAGGCAGCCAGACGCGTGAATCACAGCAGCGCGTTGCAAAGCTGCGCGGGTGACGCGGTGCCTGTGCCCGCGTTGTGCGGGCAGAAGGGACACCCTGCTGGCCACAGCGGGAATGCGCCCAGCCTCCATTTTATCTGAGCAACCAGATATTCCTGCACATCTTCTGAAAATTGCATGTCGTGGGTGCCCTGGTGCTTCTTTGGCTTTGCATAGTTCACTGGAAAGGATGACGAGCAAAGGCAGAAGAAAATACCTTCAAGATTTGAACTGATGAATAAACAGCTTGAAAAGTACAATACATCTTCAGAGTGTTTTCTGACTGCATGAGAAACATTTCAGAAGAGCTAAACCAAACAGCAGTGAGACTGTATTAGCTGTGGCAGATTCAGGCCTTTTTCTCGCAGGAATGGCATGTCTACAACTTGCTTCCAACCTCCAAAAATACCAGTGCATTCATTGTGTTTATAGCAATTTCCTGTTGTGCCCTAGCTTCTACCTAGAGACCATGCACGTGCTTCTTTCCTTTTGTCTAGCCCAAGCCTGTCTTGCCACAATTTCGCACCATTGCATCCTCATTTCTTTTCTCTTTGCAGTTGCTCTTACATAGTTCAAAGCTGTCATCAGTGCTCTCTTCTCGAGGCTAACGTGCTCAGCTAACTCTGACGTGCTCAGCTGTTTCGTTGTGGGCCATAGTTTCTAGTCGCCTCATTATTCTTGCTTTCTCCTCTGGATTCTTGCCATGGAGTGTGTTTCTCTAAGTGCAGCATCTGAAACAGAATGATGACAGTGGGATGGCCTACTGTGTTTTGATTTTTAATAAACTGTAAGTTATTCTTAACTATGTACTAAATTCCATACTAAGTTTTGTTTCCTAAGATTCCAGACAGTGTTCTAGTGAAAAAAAATCTTTTTGCTCATGGAACAATAACTTTGTTATTCTTTTTGTAGCGAAGAGGTTGGAATCCTATCAGGAGATGGACTCAGAGGATGAGAATTTACCCGATGGTCAGTGTGGCTCTTTGAGCCTTATGCCAAAGTGGAGGGGGCACAAGAGCAGAGCCGTGAATGAACCTTTGAGCAAAAAATCTTTAAATCAGTTGTCTGGTGGTTGCCCTGCATCAGGAGGGGAAGATGGTGCCAGTGATGTTCCCCACTCACAACATGTTGCTTTCAGCAGCCGCATTGTAAGTAGAAATTGTTGGATTTAGATACAAATTTCTGGAGCAACTCATGAAGGAATTTTTTTACCCTGTTTGAACTGAATGCTTGTCATGTAAGAAGTCCCTTCTCTCTCTCATCAAAACAGGAGCTTCCAGTGGTTGCTTGGCTACAGCCTATTTGCAGCATAACATTTTAATTTTTTGATCAATGGCGAAAGTAAAATTTTGTTCTATTGTTTTTAAAGGCCGGCCAAAGCTGTTAGAAAAGCATAAGCTGTTAATTCCTATTCCAAGCTGTTTATGCAAAGAGGATGGAACCAGATTCTTTTCAGTGGTGCCCAGCAATAGGACAAGGCAAGTGGCACAAACAGAAGCGCAAAGTTCTGTCTGAATATAAGGAAAAACTGGTTTGCTGTGAGGGTACCAGTGTATTGGAACAGGGTATGGGTCTCCATCCTTGGAAATATTAAAAGTACTTTACGCACAAGGCCCCAATTGGGACTTTCAGGGCTTATATCCCAATGGACAGTTTTGTTATTTTGATCAATAGGAAACAGACGTTGTACCAGACACGCAACTGTTGGAAAAATTCCGCCAAATCTCTCGTGCCGCGTGTGCCGGGGCGGCAGCAGCAGGCAGCAGCGAGCCGTGCTCGGAGGCGCGCTGCATCACCGACTTCTTCCTCGCGCTGGCCATCTGCAACACCGTCGTCGTGTCAGCCCCCAATCAGCCACGCCACAAGGTAAGGGGGCCTGATTTGGGCTGTATGGGCAAGTTTGTAATTAAAATGTGCTCTCCGTAATTCGATTATGGAAAGAAAATAACTGGCTTTTATAAAATGTTCCTTTGCTTTTGTTCTTTTGTGTGTGTGTGTTAGAAAGGAAATACTGTACATAGTTATTGAGTACAGTGTGTTCTAATGCTGGCAAGGTTTTTCTAATGCAGAGAACTCTGACTTGAATATTTTTGCTACTGTACATAGTTCAGTTGTAACTTGTACAAGTCATATTTTGAGATTTAATTACAATTCTTACTATATTTTAGTATTCTTTTGCCAGATATGTACATAGCTTTCAGAGTGCCCTAACTCAGGTTTCCTTTACAAATAGATTGTTGTTGGCTGAAGGATAAGAATCATCTCAGAAGGCTCCCAGAATATGGCAGCTGAGAAAACTCTTTCCTATTCTGTTCTCTGACTTCAAATTCTGCAAAAGAATGTCAATTTAGGTTTCACATGAGTAATAACTGGAAGAAAAAATGCTCCTCAGTATAAAATAACAAACCTCACCTTAACTATACCATGGATTTGCTGGGCTGTCCTAGTTTAATGTTCTTGAGGTGTTAAGTTCTTCCCGAGAATACTTGTTTTGAGAACATACACCTAACTCTTGTCTAAAGGTGTTACTTTGTTTTTTTTTTTTTAATTCAAGGTGCTTTCCAGAGTAGGATTCTGACTGTGTTGCAGGATAACTCATAAATTCAACCATGATTTATTCCACGTGCACCCTCTCCCTCCATTACTCATTGTATCTTCCACATACATAAAATTTTTCAGTGACGTGTGCAGAATTAGATTTTTCTGTCCATCTAGGCAGGGAGCCTGTAATCATGCCTGGAGACGTTCCCAATGGGTATTCTGTGGAGTATTTATGCACTGCCTGTGATTAAATGCACCTGATATTGTAGTATGCTGCAGACATTCCCAGCCAAATCAACACGGCAGGCTGCTTATGTGTGAAAGGGTAGATGGACAGCAGTGTTAATGCACAGCCATTCCTGAAGGACGATGTAGAAAAGTAGGCAAGATTTTCTTTTGGAGAATTTAGGGGATGATATTTTTGAATGGTTTGCTAACAGGAAAGAAGGTCTCCAGGTTGGTGATTTGAAAGGAGGGATATGACCTAAAGGTTGCAAGTTCGGGGCTAGGGAGCAGGTTTCAGTGTTTCCTTAGGGAGGAGCAATACGAGGTTGTATGTTCCCGCTCTCGGTCTCTGTGATGCTGAACAGAGAGACGCTCCGAGGTGCATGCTCTGAAGCCAGGGACTGGCCTGTCTCGATGCTTCTCGGTGAGCAAGCAGAGTGTGCTGCCTGGAGGGAGCTCATCCATAGCCCTGCACCCGGGATGAGACCGGAGTGTCAGCCGTGCTCTCTCTTCATTAACTGTTTGCCCCCTAACTGTTCTGAGTGACAGGAAGCCAGTTATTTTGTAAGACTAATGCGACATGAACTCTTTTCTGGTTTAAATTCAGATATTAAAGAAGTATAGATGAGGTACTGTATTCTTAATATTCTTGTAGCTATTTACTGTGAACGCTGCAGGCTTGGTTTGCTCTTTACAAATATCTTGCCAACTGAAAGCAAGAATTAAAATGTTTTGGTGCATTTGCCACAGCTTTTAAAAGTTATGCTGTCAAGCTAACTGTTTCATTACTGAATTAGTTCTAAAAAGCAGTATTACGTGGACTCAAGAATCTAACTTTTAATACATGCATTTTACAGATCTGAATTACAGTTTGAATAAATATAGCTTTGACAAAAGCTATTTAGTGCCTCATAGTGTATAATAGTTTTATGCACTATGTGCATAATATAGTTTACTAATAGTTTTATTTAAAGCTAATAGTAAATAGTAAAGCTATTTAAAGTGTTCTATTTAAATTGTCCATTTTTAATGTAAGTAATCAAAAGCATGGCGGTTTGCAAAATAATTCATTAGGAAGTGTACACGATTTATAAAGTGTCTTTTATGAAATAAAATGTGAAGATTTTAAGCAAGTTGTTTACTTTTTTTTTAATCTATTCTGTTCCAGATGAGGCTGTCTTCACTGGGTAGGATGCCTATTAAATCCCTTGAGGAAATCAGGCAGATGTTCCAGAGGTTGTCAGTCCGGAGACTAAGTTCCCCTCCACTTCCGAGTGTGAAAGAGTCATCATCTGAAAGCCCAAATAGTTTTGTGAGGAAACTGTCTATTTTCAGAATGAAACTGGCTTCATCTACTTCAGATGGGACAGCTGAAAGGGCTGCTGAGCCTCACTGCAGTGACAGCCCAGAAAGTTCCTCACTACCTCAAGAATCAGATACAGAGAATGTAGCTGCTGGCTGTGAAAACCACAGTGCTGGTTTCTCTCTTAAACAATCTCCCTTACTTAAACTATGTTATGAAGCTGAGAGTCCAGATGAAGCTGCCTTGGTTCATGCTGCCAGGGCTTATAAATGTATTTTACAGTCTAGGACTCCTGATCAGATAACTGTGGACTTGGCAGGTCTGGGATCTTTAACATTTCAGCTTTTGCATATCCTGCCTTTCGATTCCGTGCGAAAAAGGATGTCTGTGGTGGTTCGTCACCCGGTCTCCAACAAAGTGGTGGTATATACAAAAGGTGCAGACTCTGTCATGATGGATTTGTTGGGAACTACATCAGAAGGTATTTTATAGAATTTTATTCTTGACTCACATTTGTTATTCTTCAGTCTAGCTGAACAGAGGAGCCTGTGTGATTTCTAAGAGGAAACAAGTAGCCAAGCAGAACTCTATCTGTTAATAGCTCCTTATAGGGAATAGAAAGACATTATTGCTTGTCACCTGGATATGGCTGTGTTGTGTTCTGTTATGGAAACTGAGAACAGAAAAGTTGATGTCATTCAAAGACTTTAGTGGTATCTAAAGCAACAGTTTATAGCCAACCAAAGTATTTCCAGTGCTAAAGTAAGTCATCTGCTCAAGTAGCTGGCTGAATGAGAACCCCATTTCTGCTACCTGATGAGAGGCGTTTGATAAGTTTAATTCAAATGAGATGCTTCCTATCTGTGTTATTATTTCTGAGACAGACACAGACATATTTAGACCTTTAGAAGCTTCCAAACTGTTTAATCCAATAATTTAGTTTCCTTTCTTTTTTTTTTCCTTTGTTTAGCAGGTTCAGAAATGGAACAAAAGAAAATTAAAGAGAAAACTCAGGGGCATTTGGATGACTATGCTAGAAGGGGACTACGCACTTTATGTATTGCTAAAAAGGTACATATTTCTTTATGAATAATTTTTAGGATGTTTATTACCTGTAGAACAAACATCACCACTTTGTAACAAACTCTCACATTGCCACATTTTGCTTATCTTTGTTCTCTCAGGAGATGTTTGTAAGGAGACCAAAATCAATTAAGAATTAGGTAGTTAGGTAGGCATAGTTGTTGCAGTAGGATACCAAACCATTTAATGGCTCTATTCTACAACCAGACTGACAAGTAGCCTGATTCTTTCGCATCAGTCTTGTTGGCTTGGTGCTAGGTACAGCAGGTCTCAAGTGAAACTTGTCCTGTCTGTGACTGTTTTCCAGTATATACAACAAATGAAGTTAGACCTGTTTTATGGGGTTTCATGAACAATTCACGCTGTTAAGAGGCCTGGGTGCAAAACTAAGTAATGTTTAGAGATTTTGTTTTGAGTTCTAGGCTACTTTGAAGTAAAATTCAGTAGGGATTCAAACAGGCAGGAGAGCTTTTTACAAAGCATCTTGCAAAAATGACAGCACAGGCTGGGTGCAGTGCTCAAAGCCGAGGCCTTGATGCTGTGGCTGTGGATGTGCTCCCACTAAAGGGCAGCAGGCAGCACAGTGCTCCCTAGCCTGCCTACCTTCCTCCTAAGCAGAAGTGAATCAGGCAGCTTCCGGGGTGCTGGGAAACAGCTTGTGCTGTGGAGCCTGTCAAGGCCTTCAGACAATTAATTAGCACCTGCTACACCCATGGACATGCTGGACTGCATTACAGGGGACTGAGTTTCCAGGTTCAGTATGTGGACAGCAAAACTGGCTCTGAGGACAGTTTTGGGGCACCTTCGGAAACGTAGTATAAGTACACCCTATGTCTTTTTTCTCTCTCTGTAGGTGATGAGTGATGCAGAATATGCAGAGTGGTTAAATCTTCATTTTTTAGCAGAAACCAGTATCGACAATAGGGAGGAGCTGTTGCTTGAGTCTGCCATCAGGCTTGAGACCAAACTGACTTTGCTTGGTAGGTGGAAATTGCTTTCACTCACAGGAGACCCCTTATAACAGCCATGCTCTGAATTTACCCCAGAAAGAGCTGTGCTAATCTGCTTTGTATAATGCACAGCTTTCTGCAGATCTAGAATTTACTGCCACTCCTGAATTTTCTTAGACCTTACTGGTAAGTGTCTACTAGTTGCAAAACCTGCTGAAGGCAACCAGTGTTCTCTTGTTTGTAAAAGACAAATCTTCACTGATTGTTGTGCTCACTAGAGCATCTGAGTGTTATTATAATCCCATTACATGATAGTGACAAATCACAAGCCTGTCTGGAAAAAGATTTTCAGGGATTCCACTTCTGGACATATTTTCCATCAATGTTGTATTACTAACAAGGCAATTAGGCTGGTGCCATTTCTGCATCTCCTTGCATGGAGATAAGAAGTCAGATGTGCTTCTGCAGGACCCATCCCTTGGGTGGTCATCCAGCTGCACAGAAACTGGGAAGTGGAAACAAAATGAAAAGTGTTCAGTGTAGGTGTGGAAGAGGTGAACTGTTGGTAGGCTGGGGTGATAGCTCTGGAGAACTGCCCAGCAGTTGACATTTGGACAGCAAAGTGCAGAGCTTTGACTCGTGATAAGACAGCTACCACTAGAAGCTGAAGAGAAACAGACCCATCTGTCTGGAAAGCTATCACTTCCCCAGTTTTGTGTTACCCCTGCCTATGGTAGATGGCATAATCCTTGGTACTGAAAGGAACTGGGGGGGTTGCTGGCTTCGATCTGTGGGGAGCAGCAGGGCTATCTGGTGTCGTTGTAGGGGCTGCTGCAGAACAGGCACCGTGTGCACTGAAGAGTCAGCAGAGGGAGATCTCGTTACTTGGGAGGCCTCCTGCCCGGCTCGCAGAGGCGTTTCTGCACAGCTCGTGTCCTTGGTGGGGCAGCAGGCAGTAATGAGCTGGCGCTGGCGTTAGGTGGGAATGAGAATAGAAAAGGAAAACGGCTTTATGCTGCCACGATGCCTGCTTCAGTACCTGTGCTGGCTGAGCTACCGCTGCCCGGGGCCTGTGGATGCTGCGATCTGCAGAGCAGAAGGATTTTCAGCACTGCTTCTCTTAAGCTTTCCTTTGCTTTTTTAATAACTGTTATGTGGTGTAGTTGCAGCTGTAGTTCTCTGACTGTGCTCTTAGGACTCAAAGAGACTTTGTTCTCAAAGAACGACAAGCGAAAATTCTAATCATCTCAGTATGGCCAGGCTCATGGACAGGCCAGCAGTGGTTTTGTAGTCCATTCTGTAGGCAGGTATGAAATCTATGCGGATGTATATGAAGCCCCAGACCTTTATCTGAATGGAAAGCTATTTCTGGAAAGAATAATCCTAACACACAGTGCTCAGCTGAGCTCAGATCTGTTTTTTTGCAGCATATGAACTGAAACTTGCTTCTGTTCGATTAAAAAGTAATCAAATATCTCAGAAAGGGGAATGTTAAGTGTATAGTGTGCCCAAGTCTAAACAATAACTTGTTTCTCTCTTCCCTTGTTGTCTGACCTTACGTGTCTGTCAGAGAGGTTTGTATCAAATAAACTTCTGCATCTTCCTCCCGACCTCTTTATTGTGTGTTTGTTTTTTGACTTTTGGCTTCTGTCAGAGTGTGAGCAGAGTGCAGACCTGGCAGTTGTCTCCTTCCAACTGATGAGTGGCCATGAGTGGCAGCTACTTACTGCAGGAATTGCTGCAGCATCCAAAGTTAGCCTGACCTTGTGGTCCTTATCCACCACTGTATCACAGTCTGCCATTTATAGATAAATTGCTTGCTAGAATCTCTTACTAGAAACACACTAACAGGGAAAACTTTACTGTGAATTTTTAAATTAATTGTGTCTCATGAATTAGATTCAATTGCCTGAAGTTTCTGAGAAACTCTCATAGCCTGAGAATCCCACAAGCCAACCCCCTGGTTATGATTTAGTACCATTTGTTTTATGAACAATCCATAAAAATGTCTTCTGCCGTACTAAATCACTGGCATTTCTGCTTTTCAGAGATGGTTTTGCTGATGTCACATTAACCAGAATAGCAGATTGTATAAGTTGGTTCTAGGGGCACTGTTCTAGCTGTTTTGCACACCAAAAGAGAGGATGTTACTATATTAAAGTTCCTGCTAATTTAATTGAATGTGTTTCTGTGATCTGCTGAAATACAACATAATATTATCTTGCATATTGAATGGGAATATAATGTAGTATATGTAGTATAATGTAGTATATGTAGTAATGTAGTTTATTTTGCATGTGAGAGTGGTAACTGATCAAAGATGGCATTTTCTCCATTTTTGTCTTTCTCAGATCTCAGAAGGGGCAACTTTGTCCAAGGCAGGCAATGGTGGTGACGGTGGAGTGGGGTTACGGAGGGTGTTTCCTCCCTGTGGGGACATAGGTCTGCAGTGCCAGCAGGAGGAAGAGCATAACACTTTATTAGTTTAGTGCTATGTGGTGGTGAGACCTGGGGCAAGGTGTACTTCAGCTATGGAGGACTGAGAAACTTCTTGATGAGTGGGAGACCTTTGCAGTAATATGCAAAAATATATGCAAAAGAGCAGATTCTGCTGCTGCTGTTTTTTTTTTTCCTTCTGCCTGAAAAGAAGGTTTGGGATAAACTAAAGTTGGAGAGAATGGGAATAATGGGGTATACCTGTCATGAGTAGTCTGGGAGTCTTCAATATGTCGGGGTGCCTGGGAGATATGGAGCTGGGTTGGATTCTAGGCACTGTGGAATGAGACAACTGAGGTGGAAAAGGTTTGGCGTAAAAGGGCCTTGTGAAGAGCTGAAGGCCACTGAGGCTTTAAGGACGGTACGTGATAATGATCAGGCATGTGCTGGGGTTTGGGACACAAAGGGTAAGGAGGGAGAATTCCTGTGTCCAAATATCTCCTAGCAGAGTGTCTGCGTTGGGGTGACAATACACCCAAGAGACCAACCTGTCCTGTTATTCTTGCAGCCTCTTGGTTTGGAAATACAATGGCACTAATCGCTCTGCCTGTCTAAATTAAGGTGCCACTGGCATTGAAGACCGCCTGCAAGAGGGTGTTCCAGACACGATACAGGCACTACGGAAAGCAGGAATAAAAATATGGATGCTGACAGGTGATAAGAGAGAGACAGCTGTCAACATTGCCTATGCTTGCAGACTGCTGGAGCCAGATGACAAAATCTTCACTCTCAAATCACAAAGTAGAGTGAGTCAAAAATTAATACTTTTCATTGAGTTGTTTCTGTCTTTTTTTTTTTCTGCTCAGACATGCACTCAGGCTATATTACAAGGCTATATGGAAAAAATAAAATATCCTCTGATTTGCCTCCCTGAGGGTGAAATGTTTTGTATATGTGTAGCATTTGTTTCTTCGCATACAGTCCCTAGATGATCATCAATTATTTTAACTGGGTAGACTGCTTAGTTTCACTTCGTGCCAGATTAGGGACTGACATACTTCAGAGTTATTAGAGATTTTGGGAGGCTATGAGCTACAGCATATTACCAGCGTAAGAACTACTGTCATGAAAACTGTATTGAATTACAGTTTTCTCCTGGTTTGTGTCATATCTTCCCTCAGCCCTGCTTGACTTGCATAAATGTATAAGGAATTGTCTCATTAAAGTGCATTGAGCACAGTTTTTGAAACAATTAATCTAGCAACACTTTTAACAGAAAGCTTTCCCAGCCAAGCTGAGTCATGTGGTAAAGAGTGGTAAGTTGCTGATTTTTAGGGTGGCAAGTTTAATCCCACTTGCTAGATGCTTCCTTTTGTGGGTATTTATAACTAGTTACTCTTAAAATTCTAATTTATGAATTTTGAATTTCTCAAGAGCAAAATTGTGACTGGTAAAGTCAGCCTATAAAGTCTCTCCTCAGAGCAGAGACAAAAAATTTGAGACTTCTGTAAACTATGAAAAGATTTTTCTAAGAATGTTTTCCTTATATGTTACTTCAGCAGTTTAAGTTGTGTTTGTCCTAGAAGATTGTATGGCCAGCAATAACTGTTGGGAAAAATAAATTGAAGAATAAAGTATTTTCAGTCCAGTTGTATTTGGGAGAATATTTGATTTTTATTAATACTTTTTTGCCTTCCACTTTGCCTCAATAACTTGGACAAAGAGTGTGTTTGTTAACAGTGAGAACTGAGCCCCTTTAACAGAAGTGCTTTTCTTCCCTAGAACTGGGCTTTGAAATCAAAACTAGACAAGATAGGTCAGTGTTGCAATTTCAAAATAAAACAACAAAAGATTTTTAAAATGCGTATTTTTTGATGTATCACACACAGTATATACATTTTTAGGAAAAATCTTGTGAGTGTCTTTTATTGATTCTGACAAGGTTAAAATTGTACAAGTCCGGTTAGAATCCTTTGCAGCTCACCTATACACTGCTTTGAAATCTCCTTTGGCTTGGCATGCCACACAAAGCAAATGTAGAGAGCAAATGACTTGCACCAAAGCTACCTTAAAGATTTTTTTCTGGAAACTGGTGTGCCTCAAGTGTTTTCCCTCCACCTCTTAAAATACCCAAGCAAATATTCTTAACCAAGGTTAAATCATGGGTCCATTTTAGGAACATCACCCATTGGTGATGGGCCCATTTAGCAACTGCACACTGATTTTAAAGGACCATTGAGCCCCAAGTGAACAGCTATACAAGGGCAACATTTGACCTTTTCTCCGTATCATCTTATAAATTGGAAAGGGAGCCAGAACACAAACATTTTAGTAAGTTGCCTTTCTCTTGTCTTTAATTAGGATGCCTGTGCCTTGGTGATGAATGCAATTTTAGAAGGCTTCCAGGAAACTAATTCTGCCAAAAAAAAAACCAGCCAGAAACTTGGGAATTTCTCTGCAAGTCCCTCCACCCAAGCTCCAGGGTTCAGTGCAGGCCTGGTTATTGATGGAAAGACTTTAGATCACGTCCTTCATGAGAGTCTGCAGAATGCTTTCCTGCAACTCACCGAAAAGTGCCGGGCTGTGGTCTGCTGCCAAGCCACGCCACTGCAGAAGAGTGTCCTGGTCAGACTGGTGCGAAACAAGCTGAAGGCAATGACATTAGCTGTAGGTGAGTCCCCTGGTTGCCCCCTTTTCTCTGGAAAGACACAGCAGCCAGTTTCTCCTGCTGTATTTTTATTAATATTTACTTACACAGGAAAACCTTTTGAATCACACTTGTCTCTGGCATAAGATGATGTTATGCTTCTGAGCCAGCAAATTCGGACCATGAATTGGCTCATGGTGATCTTCTAACACAGGAACAGGAGTACTTCTGCACTGTGTTGTATGATGTGTTTGGATGTGCAAGTGAGGGGTTTTCACATTGTCCTTCTCCATCACAAACCTCCCAAAATACTGAGGTAGAGGAGGGATGACTGTGATGTAAAATATCCATATTTTCCAGCATACTGACTAGATTTTGAGAGAAGCAACAGCTAATATCCATGTGGAGATTAGTCTTCTCTTCTGTCAGACCTTCCACATACTATTCCTGATCTCCTTAAGTGTTTTCTGTAGTTTGCACTGTGGGCTGCAAAATTAATTTTCCATGACCTATGTGGTATTCTGGTATATTTGTCTTTTCCTGCCTCTTGCACGGCAACATGACAGCCAACAAAGCTGCCTCCTGCCTGCATTCCAAGTAAGAGGGATTAGTTTTCTTTTTTTTTTCCCCTCTTCTCTTTTCTGCATAGGTGATGGTGCCAATGATGTCAGTATGATCCAGGTGGCTGACACTGGTGTGGGGATCTCAGGCGAAGAAGGCATGCAGGTAGTGTATATAAAGGCAGCTGCAAATGACATCAGAGACTGCTTTAAATCTGTTCAGAGTTTACCCAGGAGGTTTGGTGGCTCCACAGTCCATTACTGCATATGGGGGAGTTGGATCCTGAGCTCATGCCCAGGCCTCGGCGCTCTTCCAAGAGCTCCCAGAAGTTGAATGCTGCAGGGGTTCAGACTCCAAACAACAGATCAAATGCCTCTCAATTACTTGCCTGCTGGCAGGAAACAAGCAGCTCACGCATCAGTGACTTCTGTGGATTTGTGGGTTAAACATAAGGCAGACAGCCTTGTTCCTGCATGTGTTGTGCTGGGCTGATTTGCATTAGTGTTGTACAAAGCAACTCAGATCTGAATGAGGATAAGAGTAAAAGCACTGTGCATGACAAATCATAAAATAAGGATTTCTCTTAGTGCATTACTAGTTGATTACTTGTCTGTGTTCAAAGCTCATCTTTAGCTGCTTGGATACAACATAGACTTTCCTTCCTGTATGTTACAGGCTGTGATGGCAAGTGATTTTGCAGTCTCTCAGTTTAGACACCTAAGAAAGCTGCTGCTTGTCCATGGTCACTGGTGTTACACCAGACTTACCAACATGGTCCTCTACTTCTTCTACAAGAATGTGGTATGTAACTGTGCCATCCCAGGGAAATCAGTTTGCTGATCGGAGAGTGCTGAAGGGTTTGGTTTGGCTTTGCATTCCTTTTTAGTTTCTATTATGAATGGGTTCAAAAAGAAACAAAGAGCATACATCAGACAACTTTGTTTTCCATTTGCATCTACAGAGAGCAAAGTCCACTCCTGTGTCTTGGACTGAGTTACCACTCCACATGTGTTCAGATAGCCATTGTCCATTTTGCTTAAAAACTGGCTAACAAACAGGCATGAATAATGTGCTGGAAGAATGACTGTTTAAATAAGCCACGTATCCGGCAACATTTTTTGAAATATAAAGATGAGTGCTAGTCAAATGAAATTTGCAAATGTGGGATTGGCACAGACTGCACGGCAATTATACTTAATTTTCTACAGATTACTGTAGCCAGACCTCAGATCTGTCTTTTTTTTATTATTATTTTTTTTCCTCGACTTTCAAAAGCCTTAACTACAGGTTACATTTTAATCACGTTGTCTTGGTCTTTTCAGGCTTATGTGAACCTCCTGTTCTGGTACCAGTTCTTCTGTGGGTTTTCGGGCACATCCATGACTCACTATTGGATCTTGATTCTCTTCAACCTCCTCTTTACGTCGGTGCCACCCATCGTCTGTGGTGTCTTGGACAAAGACGTGTCTGCAGAGATGCTCATGCAGCTCCCGCAGCTGTACATGACGAGCCAGAAATCTGTGGTAAGTTAAAGAATGCTTGGCCTCTAGCAGATTAAAATGGTCAGCATTTGAGCCTTGTCTTTCCCCATTTTTTTCCTTTCCCTCTTTTTTCTTTTTTTTCCTTCCACTCTTTTTTTTGCTTTCCCACATAATCTTACTGTATTTTAATTTAACACTTTTAATCAAAAATAGTAATTTGAGTATAACAATATAAAGTAGTGATATACTGAGTCTGGAACAGAATGGGTACCAGTAGGCTAGTGAGAAAAAGTATCAGCATATGGTTCACCTAAAACTCACCGTTTTCCTTATGATTTTAACATTTCAGTAACAGATATCACTAAATTAATGAGCTCCAGCAGGTTGTGTAGTGGTGGTGAAGTCTCATCAGTATAATCCAGCACATGCTCTGCTCTGGCTTGGAAAAGAACAAGGCTATATAGTGAGGACATATGTTGGTTTGTTTATTGGCTTCTGCATTTCTTTTTGCATAGCCTGAAATAACATAAAACACTTGGTTTATATGTTATAACATTTTTGCTAAACCACATAATTGTGGTACCACTCTGAGACTCTATAGACTGGTTAGAGCTGGACTGTGGAACAGGACTGGATTTTGTCAAAGCAGACAAAAGAAAGAGTTGTGACTATGTAAATATTATAGAGACCTCAGATTTTGGTCTCGTATTTTAGTCTTCAAGATAAGTATTTTTCTTGCAGATTGGTTAGCTGAGCTGAGAGGAATTTTTTGAAACAGCATGATCAGAATTACTTTATTACACAGTGATTTTTGTCTGCCTCTGTCCTTTATTTTTTCTTATTTTTTCTTTTTTTTTAATTCTTCAGTTTTATCAGAATTTTTGTTTTTGTCCAGTTTAGCATTGTCTTGTTCTGTGGTTGCAGTCAGTAAGTAGTATATCATTTCTCATTTCTTCTTGTAAGCACAATGAAATAACTGCTTTGAGTTAAATATAGAAGGAGGAGAAATGCTTTAAAAATATGGAATCATAAAATCATAGATATAGAATCATAGAAGCATAAATATTGCACTATCGTTATCACAAGTGCACAGCTCTGTACAAAGTATGTAATAGTTGGTGACATGGATTCATCCTCAATAATTTGAGGCATTTCCCTGGTGCAGGAGCATAAGAAGGTTTCCATGCCCTCTCCAGAGGGCAGTTCAGTACCTGGAGGGGCTCACTGGTTTTTTGGAGGAACTCATCTCTGTCCACTAATCGTGGTGGGATATAGCCGAGCCCGGGCCCATGCAGCTGTGGTTTTGAAAGGGGTTGAGCTGTCGTAGCAGTTTGCTGCCCCTGAATGAGGGAAATTTCCTTTCCTGGCTCTTGTCATCACCTCCCTGTTCTCACCCAGGTAATTACAGTCCCTTTTTTATGCCAGCTCTGTCATCACCTCCTTCCGAGAGCTCACTGAAACAGCCCGGTGTTATCCCAGCAGACTGCCCGTGCTCCAGTGAGTGGCATTAGGTCCCAGAAGGGCTCAGGCAACACAGAACAGTCAGCCAGCACACAGTAAGAGACACAAACACATAGACAAGAACAGAAGAAGGGAGTGGAGATGGACGAAGGAAGTGGGACTTTGCCATTGGTGATGCCAAGGGTAGTTCGTTGTCCCCTAGTCTGGTGCCTTCCTTGGTTCTTAGCAGTGCTCCAGCTGGTCTGTTCTGGCTGACAGTTGTAAGGTCAGGTTGCAGATGTTTGCTTCCTAATTTAAATACTGACAGTGAGCTGGAGCAAGCTCTTTATCCTTATTTCCATAGCACAAAACGTGCTTTTGGATTGGGAAACTAACGAGAATTACTACTGCAGATAAATTTTCAAAAAAGAACAAAATGAGTTCTGCCTAAAGGTGCAGTAATTTGTTCAATTTGTCTCAGGGCTGTTATGTTTTTATCTTACAGGCCTATTTGCCTTCAACTTTCTGGATAACCTTGCTGGATGCTTTTTACCAAAGTCTCGTTTGCTTTTTTGTGCCTTACTTTGTAAGTGTTGGGTATGAATTTGCATTTATACACTTTGACACATTAAAAACGCAAGCAAATTAAAGAATAAAATGCAGTCTTTGCTTATACTTGCAATATATAAATGTAAGCAGTTTAGAAACGTTGCTGTGATTGGGCTGAACTTTGTACATGCAAATATGTCCAATACTGAAATTATTCATGTTGCTTTGCATGTTAGGATGATATGTAAAGAATATGTTACACTGAGTGCTGTCTTCCTTTACAGACTTACTATGGCTCAGACATAGACATTTTTTCCTTTGGAAACCCTATAAACACAGCAGCACTCTTTATAATATTGTTTCATCTGCTCATTGAGAGTAAGTCTGTGGTGAGTACTCAGTCTGTTTAAAGAATTTACTCTTATCATGCAAATCTCAGTAAAATTAAAAATAACTTCATATACAAATCAGATATATAAAAGATATATATGTATATATACATAAAAGGTCAAAATCCCGGTATTTTTTCATGAGATCCTGTTAGTTCTCTTAAGGCAGCTGTCATTGGAGTGAACAAATTTATGGTTAAGCTTAAGAAAATTTGTCTTCAGAATTATTTGTAAATCATGGAAGAGTCCTGCTGTAGTAGAGTTCAGTTGTTTGGGGGTTGTCACTTGAACTTAGCAAATGGCAAAACCAGACAGTGATCTACTTACTTAGATTTCCTTGGTTCCCAAGGCTTTCTTCCCATAGACAATAGTGTGAACTCTTGGTTGTGAGTGCTTGGAACTGAGGATCTGTTCTCTAGCCAGGGTGAACGATTCCGAGTGTGTTTCCCTGCTAGGACAGAACCATTAAGCTATGGACCTGTAATTCCAGCTTCTCCTGAAGCATAAGCTAAAGCATCTGTTGATATTATCTGCATTAGCTTGGATAAATGTAGTGTCTTTACAAGGGTAATAGTTGCCTATTTGGCATAATTGTAGAGAAAATACAATAATATGTAAAGCAGAGGACACAGGTTAATGGCTTTTGCTTTTTCTCTTGGTTTTGAAAGACTTTTTGGAATTGTTTCATAGTGGATGAAATTTCAAGCTGTGATCCAGCCTTTTCATTCTTCTTGTGGGAGCATGGCCACATTTACAGAATGTCTTTATTCAGGAAAATATGGGTAGCATGAATTTATCTGTGCTCTGAATAGAAAAATGGTGCATAAATGGGCCTTCTTGGGCATTTTTGAATGTGGGCAAGTTGCCCAAACAATTACAGTGTTGTTTCTATAGTAACTAATATAGCCAGCTTAAAAAAATTAAGGCAAAACATTACAGAAAACTCAAATAAAGGACAATTAATCAGCATCTCAAGCAAGTTGCATAAGGGTGGTACCATGTGCAGACCTGACTTCAGTTTGTTTGGTAACACTTTCCATGCGTTGAGTGATGCTGTCATCCCATGGCAAAGGGCACTATAAATTCTTACACAAAGAAATCAAAAGCTGTGGATTTAGTCAAACCAAAAAAAAAAAAAAAAAGACATGGCTGGATGACCTGTGAACTGTATGAAGAAGGTTCTGTTCCTCCTGGGACTGTTTTATATATAGTTAAGAATTCCATCTTTCTGAATAAATCTGTTACATTAGGAGCAGTCCTCAGAGGAAGAGGGAGAGTCCGTGTGGGGGTTCGTGTTTGTGCATACATATATGTATATATATATACACATATACACATGTATGGGTCTTTCTATTTTTGCAGCTTAAGTCTAATTTGTTTCTGTCTAAATTGCAGACATGGATACATGTGATGGCTGTAGTTGGCAGCATCCTATTTTACTTCGTCTTCACTTTGGCTTTTGGGGCCACCTGTAAAACCTCCAATCCATCATTAAATTCCTGTGGGATCATGGAAAAGCACATGAAAGACCCAATGTTTTACCTAATTTGCCTTCTGACTACTTGCGTTGCTCTGCTTCCCAGGTGTGTACCTGTTTTATAATTGCAGAAAAGTTAGAAATTTTAGAAAGATGCTATGACTAGCCTTTAACCTAGTCTCTCTTTCAAGGTTTTTAACACTATTATTAACAATATCAAACAGGAGTGATAAAGAACTTATTGATTTGAAGCATGTTTTTTTTTCTAGGCCTGATTTTTCCCACAGTTGTTCTTAATTCCTTGTATCTGCACTAAAGATCAGTGGCCCAGGGAAACTCTGAACTGACCTTATTTCTTAGACCTTATTTTCTCCATTTTCAGTGCTGCCAGGACTCTGTCCCTCCACTGAAATTGCCAGTGTGTATTGCTGCAGTTAGCTGTCTATCAGATAGCTAGGGTAAGAAATGCCAGTTTAAAAACATGTTCTGGTGCAATTTCTGGCCTCATAGTTTACATTCACCAAATGGCACCTGCAAAACCTGTGTTTCAGAGTCTGCTGCAGCCTTGGGCTTATGCAAATGGTGTTTGGTTTCCTTTAATGTTGCTGGAAAAAATTTTGAAGCTGCTTCCAGACAGCTGATTTGAAATGCTGTTTATTCTGTAGATATTTGCTGAGAGTTCTCCAAGGAACATTGTTTCCATCTCTGGTGTTGAGAGCCAAGCATCTCGCCAGACTGACCCGTGAGGAGCAGCGGGAAGCAATTAAGAGATGGAAAAACGACTGCACTGTGAACTGTGGGACGGAGCTGCAGACTGCCACTGGCTTTCCCAGCTCAGCCACAGGTGTTTCATCGGGGGAGGAAGGCACTGCCAGGGATTTGGCAACATCCAAAACACCTTTTCAGCCCTGTGCAAGGGATGGGCTAGCAGAGAAAGCCTCCTCCTTTTCAGGCACTCAGGATGAGTTAGACAGCCTGAACTTCAAAAAGACTGTATTGCTGAATTCATCAGAAGAAACTAATGCAGACACATGTGGAGGTAGTAACTCATGTGCCGAAGCCCTGGTGCGTGTGTCTGGAGAGGGCCACAGTGCTGCTGCTCCGGCACACAAGGCAGGCTCGAGTTTTGCTCTGTGTGAGCAAGATGCTTTAGTGCATTTTACAAAGTCAGAGTGTTAACCGCACGGACAGTGGGTGCTATCTGGTTCGTTGTTTTGTGCAAACAAGCTGGATGATGCATGCTTTTGCTTAAAAGCTTTTGTATTTATATTTTTTTTTTAATAATTTATTAAGATGTTCAAGATCTAAATTGGACAGAGGGTCGGGGGAAGGGGGATTTTACTCTCCGCACAGGTGACTTACTTACTTTTTGCATGTTGCTTATCTCCAGTATGCAACGTTGCATAAAGCTTCTTGGTGTTATGGACCCTGTATGAATTACATATTTGCAGGATCCAGCCCAGGTAAGACCTGCCCTTTCATAAGCCACCCATCTGTCTTGCACTGATGGCCTAAAATCGTAGTGTTTCCCAGAATTCACGGTTTGGTGAAGTATAACGTAAGCAGAAAGGCTAGGAAATATTAGTATTTGTTGGCCTGTTGCAAGTCTTGATAAAAACTCTTCTCTAAGATCTATCATCTTCTGTCTCCTCCAGAAGATCCTCTGCTTTTGGCAGAGGTAGCTCCTGTCTTCCTTCAGGCCTTTTCTTAGAACCGTAGCCTCAAGTTGATGACATTTCTCCTCTTCAATCCCAGGTGCTCTTAAATTCCTCCAAACTTTCTTTTATAATACATAGTATTGGTGTCTGCAAAGGCTGTTCAAAGAAGTTAGGTCCTAAATTTGAGCACTGTTGTGTGGAGATCTTGGAGATGTCCTACCCTTTCCAGCCTCCCACTGCTCTGCACACCCAGAGAAGCTGCTGAGCTGCAGGTGGCCATTTCTGAAGTGTAGACTGTCTAGAACAGAGCCTCCTTTTTACTTCCATCCCCACTGAGTGACATGGCCAATTTATAGAGAAATTCATGAAATCGTTTGTATCCGCTAGCACCTGTTGAAATAAACAATTCCCCTCAAACTGTAGCTAATGAATTATTAGTACTGAGCCCATTTTGTACGTTTCTTTCCAAACCTTTTTGCTTTCAAATTGGCAGGATTTGCGGGTTTAATTTTAGACTCCATGTTTGAGGGAAAGGCTCTGCTTTTTGATTGAACCATGAGTTTTCCTTGTCAATGATCAACATTACATATTCCACATCTTTTAAGATCTCTGAAAGAATTTAAACAAACGCTGTGAGGTCTGAGACAGCTGCTGCTTGCAGGACAGCTATTGAGGGCAGGCTGAGTTCAATCAAACACTGGTCACCACATGTTACCGAAAGTTTAGGACCTTTTTTTTGCTTTAAAGGTAGCGTGTGATTAGTATTAGCAGAAAATCGATCCCCCATCTTTAGATAGTAGAAGAAAAAGAGGAGGTAGAGCCAGTGACAGCCATTTTTGCCAATTTTGCATTTATTTGGTTTCAACATATGACAAAGTATTTTTGGTAAGTTCTGACGGTTAATTGGAACCTTTGAAGTGAAAGCAGACACTGAAGCACTGAGAGACTGTGCTGCGCCTAAACTTGTTTGTGGTTGTGGATTCAAGATGTTTGCCTGTAGCCTATTTGCTTGTTCTCCTCATGTTTTGTTTGCAATTGGAGAAAAATCACTCAAAGGTCCAGATTGGAAAGGTCTGAGAGGGAGAGGAGAGGAGCTGAACTGCTGGGAGGTACTTTGCCAGGAGCAGACACCAGTGAAGCAGTGCAGCTCTCCCTGCAAAATGTGGAAACGTGAGGTGAAGGCCAGGAAGAAGATGCGGAACAGCCAGCAAGCTGAGCAGGGACATCAGCTGGTACCAGGACTTTTCGTAGGAAGAGACCAGCTGGGACACAGTGACGTCTCCTGCTCTGCTCCATGGCCCCAAGGCAGCCTCAGCTCTACCTGTGTCATTCCCGGCAAATGTTTCCTGTTGGAAAGAGCTCCAAAGAAGCAGGCCAAACTAGAGCTCTCCTGCCTTCAAAGGTAACACTTTGGATCTTTTTTGTCTCACTTTTGTGTTTCTTTTGCACCCTAAACCTCTTGCCTCACCTCACTGGCCACAGCGAACAGACTTTTCTTCACTCTGTAGTAACTACTGAGGCAAGTGAGGGCGGTTCCCACCATTTCATTCTTTGGATTGTAGCCCTCTTGCTTCTAGTCTAGCTGTAGCTGAGACAGTCTAGCTTTGAACTCCTCTGCGGTGTCAGAATATCCACACGAGGGTACCTCGGCACTGCCTGTCGGCCCTGGCGCCGGCTTCCTGCCCTTGAGGCTCCTTTCCTGCCCTCGGGCCGGCGCGGCCTTCGCCGCCTCCCAGGCCTGCCCGCCCCCCGCAGCACAGTGCTGAGGCGGTGGTCGTGAGGCCTCCAAGAGCCACTGCTGAAGTAAATGCAGGAATAGTTCAGCTAGGCAGTGTGCTGAGCTGGAAGCCCACGTGTGGGATAAACTACAAGTTACACAGGGGCTGTAGGGCCAGGACCTCCACAAAAACTGCAGTGCTACCAGGGCTGGTACTGGGCAGGGGCTGCAGGCACCATTTTAAGGCTACTTTTAGGGATTGCTGCTAAAGTTAAAACTTTGCACTTAATCTCTTTACACCTTCATCTTGTCATCAGCTCCACAAAGAATAAAAACACATTTTCAACAGAGGACTTACTTGGAAAATGATTGCAAATTTTTATTAATACAGCTAAAAAGAATCACAGCTCGACTGGAGCTCCCGTTGGAGCTACAGCTGGGGCACATTGCAAGAGAAACTGGGAATCTGATGATAACCATCACGGCAGCACGCAGGGAGGGCCTTGGTACACTGGGAGGAGGAGTTTTGCCTAATTTATGTGCACATATAGAAAAGAAAGCAGTATAAAAATACATTTATAAAACTACAAATTTCCTCTTTACATGGAATGTTGTGGCAGACAAAATTGTGGGAACGGAAAAATCCTGCTGCTCCCTCCTAAAGCCTTTTAGGATGGGATGGGGCTCGGTCTGTAACTCCTTTAAACACTCCTTAGAGGGGGGCTGAATGATGGTTTTAAGCAGGATCCTCCCTTGTTTCTTGGGAGAGCCAGCTTGGAAATGGGTGGCAGCCAAACCCAATTGTTCAAAAAGTGTGGGATTATTTTACATCTGACCATTTGGTAGTGCTTATATCTACATGAAATGATTGTATGTTCTCCAGTGCTTTCTAGGTGTTTTTTTCCCCCAGTCTAGCTACTCTGCACAGTGGAGGCAAAGGCATCAGTAGCCCTCACTGGAAAAACGTGTTACAGCTGCACTCTCCAATGCAGCTGGGAGAAGAGCATTTGTATGCGAGGGAGAAAGCAAATCCCTTGATACAAAAAAAAAAAAAAAAAAAAAAGGCACTGGGGTTTCTTTGTGAGTATGAAACAGTGATACAATAGCCACTTAAATAGAGTTTCAGAACCCGTAGCATAAATACTGAATATTTATTAATATTGCTCTGCAGAGCACTGTGTATGTCTAACATCAGGCGTGCTAATGGAGGAGATAGGGACCGTAAGAGGTAAGGCCTTCTGCTAACGTCTCGAAGCCCAACCAAGCACTAGGATCCACAACAACGCCAAGCCACGGTGACGTGAGCAGTAGGACCAGGAACGTCCGTGCGCGGCCGCCTCGGCGCACGTTTCCACGCGGGGCAGCCGCGGTGCCGAGCAGGCCCTGCCGCTGTGCCAGAGCAGCAGGGAGGGCAGCTTTGCTCTGTGTTTGAGGCTGGAGTCACAGGGTACAAGGCACAGCACTGAAAATGCACACGGTAGAGATGTTCTGCCCGCCGGTGAAATTAATAACTCTCAGTTTCCTGAGGCCGGTTCCCACACAACAGCAGGGTGCAGAAAGTCACCTCCAGCAGTCGGTAAGAAACGGCTCCCCTTGGGCACCAAAAAGAGGCCGGACTCTGGTGTGGTCCCTTTCAGCTTTGGGCTCTTTTGGGGAGTGCTGCCTTGTCCAGCGGGCTGCCGAGCATTTGACTGCAGCTCTAGGGCTATTGTATTTTAATTAACATTTGTAATATTAATTTGAGAAGAACCTAGTAGAGCCAAGTCTTCTGTCATTCAGGTTTACCTTTTTGGCTTTTTTTTCTTATGATCTGAGTGTTTAATCTTGCCAAGCAAAATGAAACTTCCAGTGCAAGATACTTGGAAAAAAAAACCAGCCCAAAGTATCTCTGGTGGGAGAAAAAGAAAAAGCTGGAGTGGCTTTAGCAATGCTGTTTTGTTTCTAGAAGGTTAGAGATTGTCAATGCATATTTTGTAGGTTGAATTAAATAATGGTTTAAAAGGTTTAAAAAAAAATGGTTTAAAAAAAAAAACTGCCACAAGGGCATAGGATTGATAAACGTGGGCGTTTTAGACATGGTGAAACGTGGAGGTCTCAGAAACCTGGTCTGAGCAGTCCAGGCCTCGGAGCTGCTGCAGAACGAGCTCGGCCAGCCCCGGCACCACAGGCGCCGGGAAGGGAGGCAGAGCACGGGGTGAGGAGCAGCTCCCTGCTCACGAGCCCCCTGACAGAGGCTGCGTTAGCTCACATGCCCACGGGCACCGCCGAGGCCTGGGTCTGGCGCTGGGCGCCCTGCGCCACAGGGTGCTCGGCCGGCCCCACAGAGCCTCCACTGCAGGGCTCCCCTGCAGCCCCCGGAGCGCGGCTGTCACTAAGGGGCCGGTCAGCGTCCCTCGAACGCACCCACATCGCTCCTCGTGACAACCATCATTTGAGACTGCACATGCTACTAATTCAACAGTATTAAAATAGGTTATTTTATGGTTTTACTAGTCTGTGCGACTACTTAGTTTGAGTAACTGAAAGGTGGAACGTGTCTGAGCCCTCCTCTTTTAAACCTTCTGTTGTGTTTGGAAGAGCAACAGAACCCAGCTAAAAGAAAAGTCAAAAGGGTAATTGGTTCTGCCCCAAAGTCCGTTCACCAGCAGGAGGATTTGCCGTTACCACTGCTGCATAGTCCAGAGCCCTGCAGCAAGAACAGGTAACAGCCTGAAACTCCTTTTCCTAGAGCTTCTTGACTGCAGAGTCTTCAGAGTAGAAGCGGTGACTCCTTTTCCCTTTTGCTTAGCCATCTGGAGCTAGTTTAGCAGAAAGGTGTGGATGTATATTTGTCTTTCGATCCATTCAATAAAATGTGACACGTTGCTGTAAACTCCAGGTCCCAAAACCTTGGAAAAGCAGACGGAGCCCCAAGATGTTAAACCAAACAGAGTCCAGCGCCCTGCAGGTTGTTCACACACGAGCGGTCCTCCGCTGTCACCCTGCAATGGGAGAGCAAGAACAGGCTGTAGGGGCTGTGTGTAGCCAAGGGGCACGGTCAGAGCTATGTCTGGACTTCTAGAGAGGTTTGCTTTTCATAAGCAACTCGGCTGTAAACACTGGCAGCTCAGCTAGACTACGCAGCAGTGTAACACACAGCTGTATTTATTCCGTTATATTTGTACAAAAATGTACCTGTGCAAGGCTCACACTAGTGAAAAAAAAGGTAATTTAATAATTAATTAATACATATGAACCTTAGAGTTTTCAAGCTGCATTTCACATTCATAAATTGAACTACATCAATAATAACAGATATTTGCTTAAAACACGTAAGTTGACCCTGCAGTAGATGAAGTAGCTACAGCTACTGAGTCCTGTTCTACCTCAGATTTCTAAAGCAATTGTTGGTGCAAGTTGCTTCTGAGCGAGTGTCCTACCATGCAGGAGTCCACAGTGCCAGACTCATAGCCAGCACACAGCATCCTGCTGGTGATGGTCTTCATGTCAAAGTACGACTGGCACTGCTCCAGGGAAATGATGCGAACTTCTCCTTCTTGGAGCTTAAAAGGCACTAAAAAACAGAGTTACTTGAGTTACTGCAAGTTTGACTTGGAGACTCTATGAGGGAATCGGGATTTGAAAGCACTGAAATTATCTTAGAGCATCCAGGAGCTTGTAAAGGGCTTCTTTGTACTGTAAGCAGCTGACCTAGCTCAAATCGAAAGGGAAGCTGTTAATCCCAGTGCATGAAGTACTAGACCTTATGTAGGTGTGATGATTTTTTTGCTGCTTTATAACACAAAAAAATGAATTGCCACACCATATTAGACAGCAAAGCACTATTCCCAGGGAGCAGTGGCACAAAAGTATTCTATTTGTCCTGCCAATACCTCAAAGCTAGTTTTAGATGGGCAGAGCTGCTAATAAGCAGACTGTCTCTCACAGACACAACTTAATTCTGTGTTCAGGAATACAGAACATGATTTTCAGTTATAAATGGAATAATTTGTTCACTATTGCCACAGGTATGAGTTGACCGGTAGTTGTGAAATGCCATCTGAAGCAATTCTGAAAGGAAGATTTCTTTCTCTAGTAATTACTATAACAGAGATGGGAGAAGCACATTGGGCAGAATGCAACAGAGCCAGGATATTTTGCATGTGATGTATACAGGCTCATTCTGTCACAGCAAAGTTTTGCATAAATTATTACTGTCTTGGGACTCAACGACTGCAGTGGCTACAGAACAAAAAAAACACAGTAACATTTCTGCTCAGTGAAAGAAAAACAGCACTTTTAAGCCTGGATGGAATGAACTGTGTCACAAGCCCAAGGCATGGCACAGAGCCTTGGCTTAGGAATATCACTCTGTTTAACCTATACGCCAAGACAGTCAGTGCCTTGAGCCACTGCCTTCTGCTTTCACCAAACAAAGACTTGTTCTCCCACTGGCGATCTGATACCTTCTCAATACAGTGCTGAACACAGCCTAAATGAGCAAAGTGATAATCGTGTCAGGTGGCTTTCCTGGTGGGAGTTGCTAGGCCCTCATCGTTTTTGAAAAAAATCAAACCACTTAGCTAAATATGAATATAGGAGCCTAAATTTACTGTTTTTAAATAAATAAATAAAAAGGCTTTAGTCATAGCTAGAAGCCTTTGTAAGTACATCCCTTAGTATTCAATAAGATCCAGAAACAATATCAGCGGGCATAGCTTTGTACTGGCACCACGTAGGTGATTAAGTCAGTAGGACTTCCAAGCCCCCCCCAGATCACTCCCCTTACTTTTGTTGCCCATGTGTCCCCAGCCTGTGATGTAGCAGTAGGTGTCCGGCTGGACCAGCTGCTCCTTGCTGGGCAAGCAGACCGGCCGCACGTAACTCGTCTCGTTGATATCGTCGTGCAGCTCCACGATGCTGATGTCGTAGTCTACGACCGCACGGTTGTAGCGAGGGTGCAGGATGATGGTCTTCACGAGCCGCGTCTGCATGAAGGCCGAAGGGTGGTCCAGGTTGCTTATACCCAGCACTACTTTCCAAACAGCTGCATTTTCTCTCCTTTGTTTAAAAAAATAGAAAATGGGAAATTTCAAGCAAGACGTAACTGAGAATTTTTGTCTTCTGCACATTGCACTTCACAAAATATTGCACATATAAAAATTACAAGAAAAAAACAATACTTTAGGCATCACATATATCATCTGAGCACCAAGAGATTTTCTTTCCCTTCCTGCTTGCTCCCAAATGAATTCAAGCTCAGCTCCTTCACAGGGATGTTAGCACCTACTTGCTGTATGAAATGCCAGGGGTTCTCAGCATCACCCTGTGGATCCTGCCCCAGTCCTGGGTGCTCCCTTGCTCACCAGGGAACACGTACAAAGTTCCCAGGGGGCTGCGTTACTGTTCAGTAACATGCTGCTAACAGCAGTAACTCAAGCTGAAGTCCCAAATAAATCTCAAAGAAGCAATTTAATTATGGAAATTAAGTCTTTTTTGATAGCCCTGGAAAAAGTCCCTTCTTATTTACTGGGCACCCAGCCTGTGCCAAGCACACTATGCCTAAGATCAAAGGTTACTTTGACTCTTCCACACAATTGTTTAAGCTTTTTTTCTTCTTCTTCTTTTTTAAAAAATGAATATAAAAAAATGATGGCTATGGTTCAAGTGGGAAGACTGAATTAGCACCAGTTGAGACATGTGAGAAAAACATGGGCTTCATGAAAGGCTCTGAGGGTGTCATCGCTTGATCATAACTGGTGGTAAGAAGTCACGGGTTTCTAATTAGTCTGTGATTATAAAAACCCTCAAGAAAACCCTCGGCATTTTCACAATTAATGGGAGACAGTTAGTGCGATCAAGCACCTTTGCAGACACTGATGCTTAATAAAAGCAGGATAAATCAAAGTAGCCAAAAATTCAGCTTTTTTCAAAGCAGTCAACAGAACTGTAGGTTCTATAACTTGTGATGAGTTTTGGTTGCTAAAAAGAGCTATTTCAATTTAAAAGTTGCATGAAAATTCAATAATGATCTCTTCACTATTATACTCAGTCTGTGAACATTTTTTTCCATAATGTTTCAGCATTATTATGAATATTCTACTAAGAATATTCATATGCTATCATGTTTCTTAACATTATGAAAAAGCATTGCTCTGAGCAATGAGAAGGCACAGCTGGAATATATTATCATGCAATGAAGAAAAATAACTTAGTGTCTTGGATGTTTTTATGCAAAGCACTTCAAGCTACTTGGGACAAAACATGGATTTAGCCATGGTGTCCATGCTTGATGTAGGTTTTTTTTTTTTTCATTTCTAACCTCTAAGTATTTATGGCCAATCTCAGTTTCTTGTGCTAAATTAATGATGCCTGGCCCTGATGTTTTAAATCCCGAACTACACAAAATAGCTTTATCTAATGCACCACAGCACTTAGGAAATATTTCTAACTGTTGTTCCAACTTGCTGTGGTAGATTTTGGAATATTTTGTGTCACAAAAACACAGTAGTTTAAAAAGGAAGCGTGTAATGCATTATGATAGTAATGTACTCTGTGTGTTGCTATGATATCAACATCAGACCATGAATGAGCTTGCTATTTATATAAGAAACTATACTACTAAACAGTGTAAAGGCACAAGGCACAGAGCCTCAGTCCCATCAGAGAGGCAGAAGAAAAGTTCATATAACTCCTCAATCAATTTAAGATCAATCAGGACACCTTAGCATTTAAACAACTTTTTGTCTCTTTCTTCTGTAGGGCTTTTAGAATAAATAAGAGAGAGCTCTAAGATATCTCAGAAGAGACCACAGAATCACTGAATCACAGAATAGTTGAGGTTGGAAGGGACATCTAGAGATCATGTAGTCCAACACCGCTGCTCCAGCAGGGTCACCTAGAGCACGTGGCACAGGGTGGCATCCAGGTGGGTTTGGAAGATCTCCAGAGAAGGAGACTCACAAACCTCTCTGGGCAGCCTGTGCCAGGGCTCTGTCACCCTCACAGGAAAGAAGTTCTTCCTCATATGGAGATGGAACTTCTTGTGTTTCAACTTGTACCCATTACCCTTTGTCCTGTCACCAGCCACCATGGAGAAGAGCCTGGCCCCATCCTCCCTACAGGTACTTACTTGTTGGTACTTGAACATGTTGCATGTTGATCAGATCCCCTCACAGTCTTCTCTTCTCCAGACTAAACAGGCCCAGCTCGCTTAGTCTTTCCTCATAAGATAGATGCTCCAGTCCCTTTCTTTGTTGCTCTACCCTGCACCCTCTCTACAAGCTCAATGTCCTTCTTGTCCTGGGGAACCCAGAATTGCACACAGTTGTGGCCTCACCAGAGCTTGAGTATAGGGGCAGGATCCCCTCCCTCGACAACACTGGCAATGCTGGCAATGCTTTTCCTGATGCAGGCCAGGATCCCATTGGCCTTCTTGGCCATGAGGACACATTGCTGCCTCATGGTTCACCTGTTATTATACTCTCAGCTAACTTTGATATTAGGTAGCCCTATATCAGGGGTAAATGAAGAGTTCCAAAGCACAGTAGCATCTTGTTGCATTTGATAGAATGGGGGAATGTTTATTTTACATCACTGAGAGCTTTCTTTGTTTTCCAGTAATGAGAGAAATCTCTTACACATTAAATTCAGTAGCAGTCCAATACTTATGACCATCTCTAAATCCCATCCTTTAATTTAAAGGATTAATTTAGAAGAAGAAATTCTTCTCAAAAGTAAATAAATAGTCCAGAAACTGTTTAGCCCTACTTAAAAACACATTAGAAAGAAGAGGTTCTTTTTAGGGGAGTCCTTATGCCAGACCTCAAATTTGATAAATAAAATGCTACTGTTTGTATTTTTATTTGGGGTACTAAGGGAACTGGCAGAGATTATTGCTCAGCCGCTCTCCATCATCTTCGAGAGGTCATAGAGGGCAGGGGAGGTGCCGGAGAACCGGAAGAAAGTCAAGGTCTATCTGGTCTTCAAAAAGGGCAAGAGGGAGGAGCCGGGAAACTACAGGCCCGTCAGCCTCAGCCCTGTCCCTGGAAAGGTGACAGAGCAGCTCATCCTAGAGACCACCTCTAGGTACATCAAGGAAAAGAAGGTGATCAGGAGTAGTCAGCGTGGATTCACCAAGGGGAAGTCGTGCTTGACGAACCTGATAGTCTTCTACAATAAGCTGACTGGCTGGATGGATGATGGGAGAGCCGTGGATGTTGTCTACCTTGATTTCAGCATGGCTTTCAACACAGTTTCCCATAACATCCTCATGGCAAAGCTCCAGAAGTGCAGCCTGGATGAGTGGATAGTGAAGTGGATTAAGGACTGGCTAGATGGCAGAGCCCAGAGGGTGGTGATAAATGGGGCCGAGTCCAGTTAAAGGCCTGTGGCCAGTGGTGTCCCACGGGGGTCAGTACTGATCCTGGTACTGTTCCACTTGTTCATCAATGACTTGGACGAGGACACTGAGTGCACCCTCAGCAAGTTTGCCAATGATACAGAACTGGGAGGAGTGGCCAACACTCCAGAGGGCTGTGCTGCCATTCAGAGGGACCTAGACAGGTTGGAGAGCTGGGGAGAGAAGAACCTCATGAGGTTCAACAAGGACAACTGCAGGGTCCTGCACTTGGGCAGGAATAACCCCAGGCACCAATACAGATTAGGGGGTTGACCTGCTGGAAAGCAGCTCCATGGAGAGGGATTTGGGAGTCCTGGTTGACAGCAAGTTAACCATGAGTCAGCAATGTGCCCTCATGGCCAAGAGGCCAATGGGATCCTAGCCTGAGGTCATGTCCCTTCCAACCTTAACCATTCTGTGATTATGTGATTCTGTGAGAAGACAGAGTACTTCAATATACCAGTTACCCTGTGACCCAATCCTCATTTTCAATAATGGCCACAGCCTCTTGTCCAGGGCCATTTCTATGCTGACTCCCAGATTATTTTCTTTAATCTATGGCATTTGCATGAGGACTAGAGAGGATTAGTGTTCTGCACATTTTTTTATGAATTTTCTGCTGAAAGTCAAATCTGCTGCTTCTGCCTTCATTAGCAGGAGGCACCAGCAATAAAGCACGCCAGAATCTCAGCTGATGCTGTTTTATACTATTCACTTTGCCTTTTGGTCTCCCAAACCAGGCCTCTGTCACCTGCCTTCACCTTCCACCTATGCGCTTGGTGGAGGAGAGAGGTAACTTCCACGGGTGAATTATAACATTTTGTTGGCAAACAGTAACACCGTCCTGGCCCGTCTCACCCTTCGAAGCAATGCGCTACTGTCAAGACCCATCTCTTTGCGATGAGAACGCAGCCGCAGATGTGTCCGCTGGGCTCGCTCTGCAGGGAGCACTGCCACGGCCATCGGCCCGGGCGGCTGGTCCGGCCACCGAGGATCCTCTTGGTCATGCGGGCAGCCGGGCGACGGCCACAGTCTAGCGAGCAACAGACACAGATTTGTTTGCTACTATGGACACAGAGCGTCCAGGAGGTGCTGCAGACCCCTGGGCACAGAACATTACTGACACAGTCATTAAGTGACACTGAATAACACAACAAAATCATCAGTGATCACACATTAACATCCAATGCATTCAACCATTTCAGTCCTTCCTTCACATCAAAGGATTTGCTCTCCTGAGATTAATTTTGATGGCTAGGCCTAGTCAAATTTGAATATGAAGTTGGCCTCCTTCCTCTTCTCTCTCTACACACCCTCCAGGAAGCTTCTTGGTTTTCCTTTGTTGTGCTGCTACCAACATGCTTGGGCCACGTTGCACTGCCCATAAGAGCTGCCTCTGCAAAATTAGCTCAACTTAATCAAGACTTTGCTTAAGACCAGGTCTCAGCCAAATATAACACTGGTTACTTATCTGCTGGACACAAAGCTTGCTTTATTCATGGAAGTCACCAAGTGAAAATATCTGGAGATTTGAGGATACTCTACACATTCTGCTTTACATGCTGCTGCCCCTTAGGAATTGTATCAGAGTCCTATCTGCCACAGAATTACTATTTTAAATATACTTAGCCCTTCACTTTCGGTTTATTTTATATTCTGGATTTGTAAAGCAACAGCTATTATTTATCCTCAGTCTGAAGATAAATATTATCCTATTATTTATACTCAGGCTGTTTTACAGAAAGAATGAACCACCAGTTTCTGCAATTAGCCTCCCAATGGTGGATTCCTGCTATTGTACATGTGGGAGTTTAGTGGGGAAGAAATAAATTGGAGCAATGGTGACTTGTAATCCCTAATTCTTACTGTGTTCCCTTAGGTAACTTCAGAGGACATGTGGTTATAAGAGTACTGACATATGTGTCACAAATGTTAAGAGCACCTTTAACAGCCTTCTATGAATTTTTCTCTTTTCCCTAGTAGGAGTAAATATTTCAATGAGTTTACCAAATTTAGGCCTCACTTTGTGACTATTCTTCCCAATTTTGATCTAATTTACATTTTAAGTGTTTTTTTTCAGCAGTGCTATCCTTGTTTATAGGAAATAATTCAAGATGAAGAATTTCTGTACTTTAAAAGCACTTAAATTTACACAGGCTGCTGTGCCCACAAGTTTGTCTGTAGCTTCCTCCTTTAGGTTCCTCTGAGATTCACACACACTAACAGATCACAGCTTAAACCTGCAGGTAAATGACCTGCTAATCACTCCAGTAGTAAATAATATTTTTGGCAACAAGGGAGTTTTTGCAGAATGGATTTCTGAAACCTGATTGTGGACCAAATACTTTTGTGGGAGCGAAAGCAGGACTGGCTACTGCAAAAGAGAAAAAAAAAAAAGTGAAACTAAATACGTTACCAAAATAAAGCATTTCCATAATGGAAGTTGCAGAGGTCTAGTAAAAATTGAGAATCAATCTACATTAAGCATCTGCATTTTTAAAAGTATATTTAAACACATCTTGAAAAACATGTCTCAAGAAGCTATTTGCTAAATTTGCTTTGCCTGGTTTGCCAGAAATGTATGTTTCTCTTACCTTCTTTAGTGCAGAGAAGAGACACTTTACTGTTGCTTTGACATATCTGTCTAAATATTGAAACAACATCATGGAAATCTCAATTAGTTGATGCAATTTTTGGTAATTTGCATATCAGCACACATACTATAGCTGCTGTCAAAATAAGCTGTAAAATACCCCCAAACTGTGCAAAGAAACACAAAGACTTTCTTACATCATTAACATCAACATCTCCCAGTGGCTGCCGGAAGACAATTCAAACTATTAGTTCAGCTTTTTAATGCACTTCATGACTGGGTGCTACATATTTTGCAGACTACCCCCTTCTTTGGGCGCTGATCCAGCTCTGAGGTCAGCTGAGAGGGACCTTCAGTCAATTTTTAATTTATGGCACCTGAAGCCCCAGAGATTGCTGCTCTTCTCTTCTTTATCACTGAAGGAGAGAGTGTTTGGAACATTTTTGATGAAAATGTTCTCCCTAAAAGTTGAGGTACTTTGATGAAAACTCAGGAAGCTTGCAAAGGCATAAAGACATTAGAAAGCAATCTTTCTCTTGGAAGTGTTCCAGTGGGAAGGAACGAAATCTTTGTTAAAGGAAGCATATCCATGTCGAAGGAGAGACCACCGTGGCTCAACTATCTGTCTGCAGTTTTACTTCCACCACCACCATTTCCACTTTTTATTCATTCCCAGCTCGTAGGTGTTTTTCTGAAGCAGATGCAGGGCTGAGTATGGAGTAGCTGTTCCCCAGGTAATTCTCTGAAGGCTGGAACTCCAGTAGGCAGGCAGCATTGCCACAGTTGCAACTACTTTAAAAGAGGCTGCATTGCATTTAAGTACGTCCCGATGTGGGCACAACACAGCCTACCAACAAGCTCACCAGCTCGGGGCAAGGACCCAGGCCTGGGCCGTGTTTTGGCCCCGGCATTCCAGACAATCCGTTCAAATCCTGCCCAAATCAGTCTACTCCAACCCTCCTTGGCCTGAAAACACTGCCCATAAAATTACATTCTTGGATACGCACGGCCAGTTTCAAAAAGGGTATTTGATTGTGCACAGCTCTGAGGAGCACTTACACTGCATTAAGAAAAAATGCAGACTATAACTGAGAGCAGCCACACTCATGGGAATTATTCCCTTACCTAGAAATTGCTTTGACTTGTGACCAAATAGCCCAAAGCTGTTCTCTGCACAGTGTCTGACAAACTCGCTCATCAAACTCCTATGAAAATACTGGTTTATTTGTTAGTTTTTGGCAAGTTTCTAGCGGAGATTTTACATGCTGAAGCTGATCCAGATGAATATACCCAGACTGTGGAGCTCGGGAGCACTTCCCAGCTCCTGGCCTCTGGGAAGGGACCAAATGCGTATTATCTGTATGTATTATCTATATGTAACTGTAGAGACTACAGTTCTAATAAAAACTAAAATCATCATAGAATGCATCTTAGCAAGTCACATGAGTATATCCTGAGATTTATATGCAGATACCTCAGGGGAAAAAAAAAGAAATAAAACCTCATTTAACTGTTCCTTACCCATTCACTAGAAGTGCATGTAAAGTGGATGCATTTTTATTCTTCCAATCTGAGTGCAGATTCAGCCATTTGTGATGCTGCATTTCCTCATTTTCTTGTACAATTTCTGTTTTAGGTGGTCCTCTGCAACAAATAAAAGATATTTTTTAGATCTTCCAGTATGCCCCTATGTCATGGTTATGAAGGGGAAGAGGTTTGAATGCTCCTCTTTATTCCAAAGAGACACTGTTCAAAGGTATTTCAAAGGCAACTGTGATAAAATCATAGTTTGGGGAATGAAATCAGCTCAGAGGCCCAGTCAGCTAACATCATAGTTAATGTTACAGGTCACTCAAATAGTATTTTCTGACAACTATAAGAATGAACAAGTAATAGGACTGCAAACTACAAGAATCTCATGCAGTTTTCATACTGCATTTATATATTTCTTCTTTCATTAATGCTGTATTTGACTAGTGAAAATGTGGTAATTTAA